TGAGCAAAAAACCTATGCTTGAGCTTGAGAATGGTTTCATGAATACTGGCCCAGGTGTTCCGGAATAGTAAGTGTCTTCAAAGTATGGCTAAATTTCTGTCAGTTTTAAGTTTAACAAATGCTCCTTCCATTTCGGAAGCGCAAAAGAGAGATGAAACTTCACCTGCATTTATCCATCGTCTTGTTGCTTTCAAAGAAATTCTCGTCACCAGCTGTTACTCTCCGCCGAGCTTGACACTGTTTCATTCTATTTATTGGATGAAATTGGTCGTACATATCATAAGGAATTCTATTTCATAAATTACATTGTGTTTCAGATATATGTTTTAATCATGAAGTAGAAAAGGAAAAATGGACATGCATGAGTCGACTAGTTCGATAATAGACTTGCACGAGTCCCGTTTTGTAAAATCTTCAGAGAAAAACTGCAAACTCAAGCTAGATATAAAAACAAGGATTAAATAACATTATGTTGAGGTTTATACCTAATTAAACTCATTACAACGTAGTTCAATCCTCAAAATAATTTATGTTATTGTGACATGGATAAAGGAAAATTAATATTACGCCTTCCAAATAGCATTATATATCTTTTAACCATCTACAGGTACACCTGAAGTAACTTTAAAGGTTCGATAACTGTTTACTTCGAATGAATAGATAAACCTCTACTAACTGCCATTACCATTCGCGCTGATGATCGTTAAACACGGTCGCCGTAACAGTATTTAGGTACATTGCTGACGATAAAACAGCCATTTTCTATTTCTATAGCAAGATCATGTGTAAAAGAACCCAAACTTAATGACACTTCACCGCCATTACCTTCTTCCTCTCCCCCACTTCTTCGTCAACTCTCCACTCACCGCCATTCGTTTTACTGTCATCCTCTCCCCCACGTCTTCGTCAACTCTCCACTCACCGCCATTCGTTTTACTGTCAACCTCTCCCCAACGTCTTCGTCAACTCTCCACTCACCGCCATTCGTTTTACTGTCAACCTCTCCCCCACGTCTTCGTCAACTCTCCACTCACCGCCATTCGTTTTACTGTCATCATCTACCCCACGCTTTCGTCAACCCTTTACTTACCGCCATTCATTTCACTGTCAACCACTCCCCTACGTTTTCGTCAACTCTCCACTCACCGCCATTCGTTTTACTGTCATCCTCTCCCCCACGCTTTCGTCAACCCTTTACTTACCGCCATTCATTTCACTGTCAACCACTCCCCCACGCTTTCGTCAACCCTTTACTTACCGCCATTCATTTCATTGTCAACCACTCCCCCATACTTTCGTCATCTCTTCACTCACCGCCATTCGTTTTACTGTCAACCTCTCCCCTACGTCTTCGTCAACTCTCCACTCACCGCCATTCGTTTTACTGTCAACCTCTCCCCTACGTCTTCGTCAACTCTCCTCTCACCACCATTCGTTTTACGGTCATCCTCTGCCCCACGTCTTCCTCAACTCTTCACTTACCGTAGTAAGATGGAGACGGCATTTATAAAACTTTCAAAGGTCGGTATTGATAAGATATTAAAAACATATTATCTTCTATGATATTCTAAATATCATATGTATTATATTACATATTCATGCACATAGATGAATGTTAGATTATCGTGATCAATAAACACATCGTGTTTAGGTTAATAACACCAATACCTCATTGAAAAGCGTACATTAAGAAGAAGCCATATGTACAAGGTGAAGCTGAACCAATCATGGCTGATAAAACAGACATTGCAGTAGAAAATCCAAGTCTATACTCACTGCTCGTTTTTTGTGTTAAGAATTCACATCGTAAGCCTACGCAGACTGATTTTATGTACAAATCATTACCATTGGGTGTGGGAAAGTATAATGGGCTGACAAACCACTGTCTGGTCGGCAGAGGACTAAACCATAAGACCCGGCTACATTGAAGTCTCACTTTCTTACCTCCGCGTCAACATACTGTCATCAGGGGAGGTAACTTAAACAAATGTTTAAAATATGCATCGATTCATCTAGACCGCTTTGATTCAATAGATTTTTTCAATGTTTTGTATTACTCAACTGAGTCATTGAAACAATTCTTTTGTCTCAAAATAGACATTCTATTGCAGAAGGATTTCAAATATTTACTATATCAAGTGTACATCGTAATAAAGTGCTCTTTCGTGTGATAAACAAACTATGTAGGGCATGTTTTAGGGATGTTTTGCATGTTACAGAGCAGTTGAAATATTAAAAACACTCATCCCTACGCATACAAGTTTAATTATGACCGATTCACCTCGTCTTGTACATTCTTCTATTTACATATACTAATATATAAACAAAAGTCAGAATTTTTTTATCCGAATTTCCTAACTGCACATTAAAGAATAAATCCTTTATTTATTTATTTATCAAATAAATGCTCTCTTTGTTTGATCTATCTGTGTATGTCAATAACTTTTATTTTACATTGTTATGTGAATGTTAGTCTATTTCCTACCAAGGATTCATTCAGTATCTTTCTTTGACCACTATTCTTAATTAATTGTCCCATTTTTCTCTGACTTTCCACCGGTCAATAGTTAAGTGTGGATAATTGTATTTAATATAAGCAATACTTATTTCACCTGTCAACTTAAGCAGTTACTATGCGATCATTTAAAGCCCCAATATACGTAACATTCACCAAAAATTTAGTGTTGAATCACACATAATTATTGAGATATTCTCTAAGATGTAGTTAAAATTAAGTTATTCAAACAATAGTTACCATGACTTTGTGCATAAAGTATTGATTTATGAGCAGTTGAAACTCGCTCTTTGTAAACACACCTCCATTTTGAACACGCCGCCATCGAAATTACGGTTGTTGCCGAACCACGTCGGAAAGTTCATGACCTGATCTCGTGAGAGTTGAGGTTTCTACTTATAGAGGAAGCACATGCAGATATGTCTATGGTAAGGTTTTATTTACAAACATTGTTTGGGAAGTCATGTCGTAGACTTGAGGTATTCCTGTGATAAACATTCAGTTTTTGGGAAATTATTAGAAGGAATAATTAGTTTAGAAACGATACGACGCACAATTATAACGTAAGAATTCAGAACTGGCCAGATGTATGATTAGAAAAAGGAAGCAACTGGTGAACGTCTGTACTGTGTCTGCCTTGTTTACACACGCGGAATATGCGCATGCGCAATGTCATCGCTACGAGCGGTAATGTATGAATTATTGTGGGTCCCACATTGTTTATTTTCCGATTTTTTCAATTCTTATTTAAATTGAAAACAGTCAGTTTTATTTTCTTTAATTAAAGGAAAGTATTTGTTTTGTTACATATATTACGGGGAAAATAAGATAAAGTTTGTTTTTTTTTATAGTGATTTTTATGTATATTGGGGCTTTAAGATAGCAGAAACATAAGAAACGATATGAGGGAACATTTCCATCACTGATTTTTTTTAACACTTCATAATTTATTTCATTTGTATAATTATTGCATAATTCTTCCTATTAAAGTCTTATCGACATTTTTCCTTTAATCCGAAAAAGAAGTTGCACTTATACATGCAATTACTGTCTCTTTCTTTTTGTTCCTGTAAAAAAGATAAGGTCAATATCATGAATAATTTGTTATATTATGGAATTAAGTATAGAGATAGCACATACGGGGAATGCAATTGATTTTTTTTTGCCTTATTAGATATTATACTGCACTGTTAGAGACTATAATTGACAAAAAGTACTGCTTAAGGCTATATATGGCTTCAAAATGTTGATTAGTTGTTAAAAAAAAACCTATCGTTTATCGTTTGGCAAAATGTGTGTGAATTGAAAGCAGGCGATAACTTTCAGTAGATGATAGTAAATGCAAATTAAATTCTTTCTCAACAATTTTAATGTCCTATTTTATTTCTTATTGTGTTGGCTTATAGATGTAATACGTTTAGACAATATGCTGTAAGGCTAATTCGAACAGGACATGAAACCATGCCTTATAAATATTTTAGATGTAACAGAGGTATCATCTCTTGTGCGTGTCTACTTTACTGTGGGTACCAGGTGGGCAAGTCGCGGGGATGCTGCGTTTGGCAAAAGACAATTCTTTTTATCTCATTAAGAAGCTGGAACTCTGCTAATTGGATGCTGAAACTGAACCACTAAGGACACAAGCATCAGTAGGAATGTGTGAGAGAAGTTCTTTTATTTGGTGTTTTATTAGCTATTACAGCTTGTGCTGACCGTCCAGTAAATGGCCTAAGTATATCATGCCAAGTAGTGACCCATGATGGACTTCCATGCCTTCAGTAATTGTAAAGCAGGAACACCCGATCGTTCCCTGGAATGGATGATTTACCTGAAAAATTATCGCCTAGAACTGAAGTTCCCATACAATTACACCATCGATTTCCCGCAGTAAGACCTGGGCCTCATTGGTATTCACTTCTAGTAATGGGCCTCGCGCACAACTTACTATACATACGAGGTTGCTAACGAAGCCAGTCAAATTCTGCTCCCTTTACGCATGGGAAGCGACCGCCAGAGCAGAGATATGCAGGCACATGATCATACGTTCATGTATGTCTAGTTTTTTTCATAACTTTAACTATCGGTGGTCGTTATTCATCAAATTGGACGATGTTGACACCATACATCACATTTTCTTACACACGTCAGATATATTGGCAAGGGACTTTAGCAATTTTTTAAGTTTTTATTTGAAGCTGTATTTTTATTCTCATTTTAAGGTGAGGCATGGATAGACTTGCTTTAAACTCAATTTCATCTTACTCGATTTAATTTGTATGCTGCCTAGCCAAAGTCGAATCAAAAATCTTTGAATGAGAGAATATTCCGGTCTCTATCCGTCTTATCGGCACGTGTATAATTAGATTACGTGGCAAGTTTAGGGTCGTTACACGAGAGGCGAGCGGGTGGAGTATTCCTGTGTGTGCGAGGAATAACTTGGCCAAAATCCGGGAATATGTTACCTTTGGGCTAGCCACAGACCAGCATGCCCGCAGGCAGTCCAACGTCCGATAAATACGTGGTATATACCGTGGATACGGAGGATAGTAGTTCCGGACTGGAGGACGGACAAATAGTTTTCCGTGATCCGGATGGTATCAATGGGCTTAAAAGGATGCCGCTCCGTTCCCTGTCATCCGACTCTTGGGGGACATATTGGTCTAAAAGAGAAAAATGTTGCTGTTTGTGGAACGTCTTTCTAATCCTTGTCGTCATCTGTCTAGCTGTCGTCTTCATCGTCATGCATAAGACACTGACAAGTCAGCAATCAGAACGAGATAATTCCAGTATCGTACAGACCGCTTCCGGACAACCGGACGTTACGGACAAAAACGTTACTCCGGCACCTCTTGCCCCAAGAGAAACGGTAAGTCACCTCTAATTTCATTTATAAGAAATTCAATCAAATCAAATAAAAAGATGAATCATTTAATTTGATAACAATGCCGATTTAAAGTACAAAGTAGCAAGACTGCCAGGATATATGCAGATGAGTTGGCTTTCGCGACGAAACTGAAAGAATATTCAATTTGAGTACTGCTTTTTCCTATCCTTCTGTTATGTTCTTCACTGACGTTCCAACAAATGTACCATATATCTGTCTGAGTTACGCCCGAGAGAAATTCTGTTTGAGACGTTATACATTGCAGTTGTATTCCATATATCGATCTTTGAAATTACAAACATTTGATTATACACTTATATATGTTAAACTGTCAAAAATTACGACACGAGCCTGTCAGTTGCCTTTCAAATATTGCCAATTTTCTGTTCCGACGTGTTCATATAGCTGCTTCGTAAAGTTAGAAAGTCTTAAATTTCAGATCCATTTAAATGTTTGAAAATAGAAAAAAAAGACGACATTTACGAATAGATAAGTGAAACATGATACAAGCCAGGGATTTGAATATATATGTTTTGTGCACATTGTTTCTTTAAATGGTTGTTATGATGCAGATAAAAGACTTAATTTCATTACAAAGACGTGTATTTATGTCAGTTTGGAAACAATTACAGTTACCTGAAGAACAGTTTATGGTAAATACAAAGAATTTAGGCTAGAACGTAGAAAGTCCTAAACACGAATTTTTAGCACAAATTATGTGTTTTTAGAGACAATTATCTAAGTCTCATTTTCTTCTCCTTTACCGCATTTCCATAACCTAATTCAAACTTAATTAATACAAAGGTTATGTCTTCAACTTTCAATGAATAAGAATTTACATATATTCTCCTCTTAATAGTTTAATCTAAACTCACTTAGACAGGTGATTACTTGTATAATTTAACGAGGCTGCTGAAGTTGCTTTATAAGCAACATGACGCATGCCAACTGCCACATACTTCCTGCCAAGTCTTATAGGCTAATGGAAATACGGCTGCAACAAGAATGAAAATGAGTAGACTAATTATGGTCCGTATGGGGCTTTGGATATTATGTGTGAACCATTTTAATGGCCGACTCTAAGTTAGGATGAAACAGCAATTAAAACAATGCATTTTCATTAACATTTGAATGTCACATCTTTTAAGAAATTAAATGTGCATGTTTCGCAGGTCGTTTTACGCCATCTTCCTTCTTGATTTTGTTATATATTATAAGGCATAATGAGACTTATTTTGGATGGTGAATTCTTTCTCTGACCTTCAGGCCTAATCTTATTTAAAAGATTTTTGTCGGACGTTTCGGAGGTGTCACAGAAGCCATCAACATCCCTAAACCAATGTCGCTAACATTCCTAACCATTACGACCATCGTACAATATCCCACTTGATCGATGGGGCTTTTCCCTATTTAAGATCGGGCGAAGGTATAATTCTCTTTAACACAGAGCGGAAATGTTGTAATTACACATTCAGGTATTTGTCCATTGTTTGAAACCATTTATCATGTTGATGGGCGACTGAAAACACTATGCTTTGTTAGTTCTGCTGGTGAGAATCAAATGAATTATTGTTGCGCTTTAGCGTATCACAAAACTGTTATTATTTCTATTGAAAACTTGAAGTTATGACAAAAACGAATTTGTACGTATATGTTAAACGGGATACCTTAGGAAAAAAACGAAACTGATATTATTTCTTTTGAAAAAAAAAAGTGATATCGTTTATCATTGGAGTTATAACAAAAACCAGTTCGCGCATATATGTTAAACGGGATATCATAGAAAAAAATGAGTGGAAATACATTCCTGACAATAAAAATCGTTACTTAGCGTTTTGACGAACTTTGAGTTAGAAGTTATACTTTGTGTAATGAATCAATTACCACTGAATCAAATTTCTATAAAATAATGAAACAAACTCGAGTTAAATCACATGTTTTTAATATGAATTCATTAATAGACCAAGTCAGGAATCTGCATCATACAACCTCGTGATTCATCAATCACTCTTCCATAAATACTAGGGTTCAAAAAAAAGTGTGGTAAGGATACAAATCTAAATGACATGATAAAAGTGTGGGCGTGGTTGTCCCGATTTGACAGTTTTCAACACACAACAACTGTAAGAAAAATATTACCAATTTGTCAGATTTGTCAATCATTTCAATTTTTTCTTCTGAGGGGTTTAAAGATATTCTTCCAAATCCATAAAAAAATTTATTGAAGATTCAACGGACTCATTTACATTAAGTAAGATTTTTTCTAAACATGCTGATGACAGATGTATTTATATTAAGTCATGATTGTACCAAAACACACAAGATCATATATCATCTCGATACATTTAGAAACATATACAGTAAGGTATGAATGACTCATTCTGATTAAGGATTGCAGAATACTACACTTAAATTTTCGATTAGGGTTTGTCACAAATGATATGTCTTTAAACAATCCGTATTCAACGTGTTTAGTTTACAGCATTGGGAAAAACACTACAGATTAACCCAAAACACACCATGTGTACTGATCCTGAACATATACAGAGTACATAAATAACATGCTTTTTCATGCAAACTCCAAATACAGATGTTCTCACTTTACGAAAACACAAACTAAACATAGCATATGTTTTATAAAAAAAAATACAAAACACAGATACTACGCCTTTTTGCAAACACATATTATATACATCACATCTTCTGTAAAAATGCTACACCAGATAGTCACTCTATTTTATTACATTTTTGGCCTCAAAAATATTAGTATGATAAAAAAATACATTATCATTGCAATGATGAAACGTATTCTTGTTTAAGAGAATGAATTAATTGCCATCATCATTTATATATGTATGTTTTTATTTTTGGCCAATCAGAACGTTGCTTTTTCTTCACTGTATTGAAATCTGCTAAATTTCTTTTTGGAGACGGATGCAGTGAATATTAAATAAGGCCGAGCGAATATTTCGTTTACGAGTGCAATCGGGAACCCATTAAATATCCTTAATATGTCATATTTTGTTTAAAAATACAAATATATATATTAAGTTGTTTTTTTTATACAAACACGAATCAATAATATATTATTATATTTTCGAGACAACGAATGACTTTTCCTTGCTTTACAATTGCAGGGATTGAAAAATGGCTTCGACCCAACCGAAATTTCGACTCTATGAAATTCGGGTCATCCGAATTAAAGTACAAAGATATAGAAGGGAAAAAATCGGGACTTAAAAAATAATTCGACTCAAACAGAATTTCTACTCCAGCGATTTCGAGACAACAAGTTTCAACTGTAGTTTGTCTTACTAACACAAACAATAAACAGAATGTCTTTTATGAAAACATAAAACATACATAAAACATATTAATATATGCTTAAATACTTGCACGCAAAAGTGATAGTATGTCATAATACACATATCTAACAGATCGTTCTGAAAAGACACATCAACATTGCCATACTTACATGTGTCAAGAGAGGATATATCTGGGTATTAAAAGGTTATACATGTCTTAATTCTAAAGACAACAGTGGTACTTTATGTCTAAAAACAAATTTACTAATTACGATATGTCTTAATACAGGATTGATAGAATTTTGTAATACAATGGCACGTTACATACAACACACACTCAAAATCATTGAAGTATATACGGTACCGTGGTTAATTGTAGATATCAAAGCGGAATGGTTTTCCATCGGTTAATAAGTACTGAGCATTATCCGTTTATGTAAATCTATGGGTTTTTTCCTGTTAAAAATGTATACGAAATACATTTCCATGTGTTAGAACATATAACGACCTTGGATGTTTCTTCTGTAGATTATTGTACGATAAAACTGCTCTAATTTGCATATCAATGGCGTGTAGAGAAACCATCGATTTAAACACGATAGCGTAACATGGGTTTCGGTCTATGTCTCACTTCTTTTTTTTTTTATTTAGAGAACACTTTAAAAACAGGATTAGATAGTTTCAAAGAAGTACTATTAATGATATTCATTGGTTTTGTACAGTCTCCGAATTCAGTCTTAGTTTTGGATCTTTTAAATTCTTAACTAGTCTGTAACAGATTATAGGAAATTCAAAACTGTATGTATGCCAGATTGTACGAAATCCCTTTTCCCATCAGGATATCGTAGATAACTACTTACTTATACTAAATTGAGAGAACAGCGCAAGGAAATCAATAAAATAAGGAATCAGGCGAATAAAAGAAAACACGGATACCCGATTATGTGTTCCGGAAAAGTTGTATCTCTGCTTCATATTGGTCCTATCCTCCACTCTAATTTAGGTCAAATCCTATTTTGTCTTGTTCTCGTAATGAATGTCAAACGATTTTCGTTAATAATTCAAGTAAAGTCTGTTCCAAATTATAATTGAAATGTTATTGGAAATTTAAACCCTCATTAATTATCGTCAATATGTTTTATTTTTGTGTTTCCGATACCAATGCATGCTCAGTTTTATAGTGATGCAATTTCACCTGACTAATTGCTCAGGCTTACATCCTTGTATTGCTTTTGCAGTATTGCAGAGCTAAGTAGGGATAATTAAAACGATATTAACGTACCACACAAATTGGTGCGCGGTGACGTGTTAAACCATTTCCTAGATAGAAGCAAATGTAATTGCGTTACACGAAGCCATGAAATCGAATTTGGTCAACAACAGCATCTTACCCTTACAAAAATAGCACCTTCTTTAGTTATGGCTTGTGAAATCGCCAAACTGCTGACGTAACGGTATTGGCAGGCTATATGTGTAAGTTTTGGACACTCTTAGGACAATGTATTGGCTCTCTGTATTTGCATCTTGTTTCGTGCACGTGACTTACATATGTGAGAGGATTGCACAAAAGACCGACACACAAATGACTGGCACATTTCTATACAAATTCAGAATAATTCCATGTAGTGAATTTCACTGCATGATACAGTTGTTTCGTACTTCTAGAAGTATTCAATG